GGGAGGGGAGCGGAGGGGAGGTGGGCCCTGAGCGCCGAGTGCCCAGGCTGTGTGCTGGAGGTCACAGCCACACAAGGGGCAGTTCCTGGGGAGATGCCCCATAGCAGGAGGGGACGAAGGGACCCAGGGCTGTGCCCAGCTGGGGGCAGTGGCAGTGCCCAGGGAAGAACCTGGGTTGGGGCAACGGCGGAAGGTGTAGTGCCTAGGGCTTCCTGCTCACCCGCAAGGTCGATAGGTGAACACAATATAGCTGTCCTCGTCCGTGCGCTCCAGGAAGGTGACACAGGTATGCTTCTCCCAGTGCCTCATGGCCTGCCGGAAGACTGCCCTCTGGCTACCTGCCAGGAGGAAGGAAGACAGGTTGCCAAGGTGTCCAGGCGGTCCCACCCCCTACCCACCATAGAAGAGTCACAGCCATTCTGAGAGCAGACTGCCCAGAAAGGAAAGTGTGGGCACTCGGGCTGCAGATGGCACCCACGCCTCCGTGCCTGGCAGGGCTGCCCCAAGGCCAGGGCCAAAAGCTGGCTGCACCCTGGGCCCCACAATAGCATGCTCACCAGTGAAGTTTCCCCCAATGACAAAGGGGATGACGCCATCGGGCCACACACGTTCTGGTCGGGACGTTGCCGCCCGTCGGCTACGGGATCTGCCTCTCCATCTCCCACAGGCTCCCCTCTGAGGCTGCCCGTTGGTGCTCTGGCAGCTGGGGTTAGAAGTGTTTCCTGGAACTGAAAGAGGAAGGCATGGTGGCTAGTGAGTGGAGAGGAAGACCAGGAAAACAAAAGCATAGTCAAACCTCATTTTTCATGGATTCTACGCTTGCAAATTTGCCTACTGGCTAAAATTTATTCGCAGCCCCCAAAATCAATACTTTCAGGGCTTTCACGGTCGTTTGTGGACATTTGCCGAGCAGTGAAAAATTTCAGTCACCCAACATGCATGTTCCTAGCTGAGGTCGAACAATTCAACGCTCCGCCTTCTGCTTTCGGCTCCCATCGTGTAAACAAGGGTCCTTTTTCAGGTCTAGTTAAAGTGCCCTGTTTTTTGCGTTTTTGTGCGCTTTGTTGAGGGTTTTGCTATTTAAAACAGCCCCTGAGCATAATGCTGAAGGGCTCTCTGGTGTTCCCAAGGGCAAGAAGGCTGTGATGTGCCTTACAGAGAACATACATGTGCTAGGTAAGCTTCTTTGAGGCATGAGTTAGAGTGCTGTTGGTGGTGAGTTCGATGTTAATGAATTAGCTCCATATTAAGCAAGGTGTCTTTATAAAGAAACACTCATAAAACAAGGTGATGCATTGATCAGTTGACAAAAATGTTGTGACCAGAGGCTTGAAGGAACCTGACCCGGTGTTTTCCTTCGGAGCAATGGGTATTTGCTAGTGTTTTCAGTGACTGTACAGAGTAACTATAAAGTTATTCTGTAACTTCCACAAACAGTGAGAATTGACAATAATCATAAAAGAGAACAAAGGTGCACTCATTTTCTAGGAATTGTGGGGATCTGAGATTAGGAAAATATCCCTTCTCATCGAATAAACCTTGACATTTGTGGAACATTCAGAACTCTATGCCTTCTTTTGGTTTCCCAAATTCATGTTTGCATTTGACATAGGAGCTCTAAGGCATGTGGACAAGTGTCATATTATATTTGGCACATGAGGAAACTAAAGCCAAAGCTTTGCCCAAAGTCACCTGGTAGGTTAGCAGGGGACCCCTCCATGCAGCTTTCCCTTGTGCCATACGTACTAGTCCCCACTAAGGTCACATGAGCCTTACTTGTTAGCAGGCCACGAGGTCACCCTCCAATGCCACCTACCCTTATACATAAGGTACCCACATCAGGATCTTCCCTCAAGCTGGACAGGGAAACTTCAGGCACACTACAGTGTTCCAAGAGCAGGCCCTCAATAAGAATCCCTGCCCTTTGGCGTGGTGGCTCACGCCTATAATCCCAGCACTTTGGGAGGCCAGGGAGGACGGATCACTTGAGGCCAGGAGTTCGAGACCAGCTTGGCCAACACCGTGAAATCCCATGTCAACTAAAAATATAAAAAAATTGGCCAGGCGTGGTGTTGCATGCCTGTGGTCCCAGTTACTTGGGAGGCTGAGGCACGAGAATTACTTGAACTCAGGAGGCAGAGGTTGCAGTGAGCCAAAATGGTGCCACTGCATTCCAGCCTAGGTAACAGAGGGAGACCCTGTCTCAAAAAAAAAAAAAAAAAAAAAAAAAAAGAGAGAGAACAAAAGAAAAAAGAATCCCTGCCCCTGCCCTTTGGGAAGGGGAGGGCTATTTGTGTGCTCTCAGGACCATGTCTCAAACATCAGCATTGGCAGTGAGGAGCTTTCACCCTTCTACAGAGCAGTGAGGGGCTGGAGAGAACAGACACAGCCCAGCCCCTCATCCCTCCCATTCCCGCATCCATGCACAAGTACCACATGAATTTTTAGGAGTTTGGACCACAATCAAGGATAAGAAGAAAGCATCCCTGACCTTAAAGAGCTTTGAGTCCAGGTAGGGAGACATATGAGCAAATCCTTTCAATATGGTGTGATAAGTGACAGCGTAACAGTGTGAGCACAGACAAGGGAGAAAACAGGGAAAATGGAGGGATAGTCATGTTTGGGGGGCAACTGGGAAAGATGAATAGGAGAAGCTCCTGAGATGGGCCTCAGAGGATGCACAGAAACTTGCAAAGTGGGAACAGGAGAGCCCAGGAGGGATTGCAGTGTTGGGCAGAGTGTCAAGATCTGGAGTGAGAAACCTCGGGTTCCAGTCCCAGCTCTGCCACTCACTAGCTGTGTGATCCTGGGCAGGTCACTTTACCTCTGTGAGTCTTAGTTTCTGGACCTGTCAAACAGGAGTTGTCCTGACACCGCCTTTAAAGGTGGTTGGGGACAGTCAGGCTAGACAATACTTTTGAAAGTGGTTTGTAAACTGTAAGCAGAAAGAATGTCAGTTCTTAGTTGCTGGGGATGTCTGTATTTACTACTCCTTTGGGGAAGGGATGAAGATATCCCGAGGGAAGATAGGCCCATGTGCTGAGGTCAAGCTCATGGCCTCTGTCCTGGGAGGGCCTGGCTGGGAACAGGGAGAGTCCTTGTTTCCCTAAGACTGGAATTCATTTCTAGGACACAGAGGGCCCTTTGGCACCCGACTTACCTGCACCTATGATGGAGGACTTACGAGCGGTGTGCTGTCTAAGATCCGCAGCCTGCTGTACCTGGAAGGCCCTCAGGTCCTCTTCGTCCAGGGCAATGTCCCCAAGAAAGGCAGCTAAAGAGAAAAGAAGAAGCCAGGGCTGAGTTAATCCCCCTTCCCAGCCCTGGGTGCGACGTGTTTCTAGCCCCACCCCTGTGGGCACCAGTCCCCAACCTCCACAGCAACTGTGATCCTCAAATGCCATCTGAACCAGAAGGAGAAGGGCAGTTAGGGATCAGTTTATAGAATTTCTTGGGAAGCTCATGCTTACTTTTCAGTTAAAATCCCAATAAAGCTGATGCTCAGTCCCTACAAGGCTGTTAGCTCATCATTCTTTGGGGAGTGTGGGGCAGATAGGGCCTCACCGCTGTGCCCACCTAATTTTTAAAAATTAGCAGGATCTTGCTATGTTGCCCAGGCTGGTCTCAAAATCCTGGCTTCAAGTGATGCTCCAGCCTCCTCAGCCTCTCCAGTGGCTGGGAATACAGGTGTGAGCCACAGAGCCATCATTCTTCAGCAAATACTTAGTTAACATACTACTGTGGTCGAGACAATACCCTAGTCATTAGCAAGACAGAAGAGGCCCCTGCTCCTGTGGAGCTAACCTTCGATAATATGCAAGTAAATAAATACTGACCTAGGGTCTTCTAGATAGCAATGGGAGCTATGAAGAAAATAAAACAGGATGTGCTGAGCATGTGGTGTTCACTCAGCAAATGCTGTTTCAGTTTAACCAAGGTTGGGGGGTCTATGAAATAAAATAAGCCAGGTGCAGTGGCTCACACCTGTAATCCCAACACTTTGCGGGGGTTGAGGTGGGCGGATCATTTAAACTCAGGAGTTCAGGATCAGCCTGGGCAACATGGTGAAACCCTGTGTCTATCAAAAATACAAGAATTAGCCAGGCATGGTGATGTGATGCATGCCTGTAGTTCCAGCTACTCACTCTGGAGGCTAAGGCAGGCGGATCAATTGAGCCCGGGAGGTGAAGGCTGCAGTGAGCTGAGATGATGCCACTGCAATCCAGCCTGGGCAACAGAGTGAGACCCTGTCTCAAAAAAAAAAAAAAAAAGGAAATAAAATTGCACCAATTTTCATTAGAACAGATAAGCATCTTTGGGAAACGAAGATACCTTCCGGGAGCTTCCCAGCTAGGAGAGAAAAGTTTAATAGTTCTCAAGTAATTCCTATTCCAAGTCTTAGGCTGCTCAAGCAGAAAGGCCAGAGGGGAAGAGAAATGGCCCTCCCTAAAGGGCCATTCCGATTCCAGTATGTGGAGCTGAGGAGGGATGTTTCCAGAGACCCGGCTGAACTGTCTGTCTCCCTTTTGAGAAGTCTGTAGAAAAGGAAGCAGAGGCCATAGAACTGGCCGCTTTGGAAGGCGCTCATATGGGAGCTGCATGCTGAGCTGAGCTGGGCTGGGGGAGGCGGGAGGCTGGGCTAGAGGTGGGACCCACAGCGGCTTCCCTGCAGCTCCACCCACGGCAACATCTGCTTCTCATCCAGGCAGAGCGCTATACAGGCCTGGCGGTCGCATTACACAAATTGTTTTAACCTTGAGGACTTCTACACAGGTTTTTCCTCCGCAGTTGGCCTCACTGGTGAACACACACACACACTGACTTCATCACATACAGAATCAGACACCCAAGGTTAGTGTTCCTACGGACACATGGTGGCATCCACACCCTTCCCATCCAGTGCAGAGCCATCAAAGCCAGAGACACACATCCTTGCACACGAAAGCAGCGCCCAGCACTGCACTTTCAGGCGGGAGACACTCCAGGATGTTCAAATGAATGAATTGCTACGCTGATATTCTTCTGACTTGCAAATACATGCCCAGAGACACACCCTCACCTAGACAGGATCAACAGAATGTGGGAGTGACTGTGGCAGTCATCGAGGCCAAACTTCCATTTTATAGATGAGAAAACTGAGGTCCCAAAAGCAACAACTTAACTGAACCTACACTGCTAGTCACTGGAAAACTGGATGTATAACTCAGGCCTCCCCATTTCCAGTCCAGCGACCACTGAACTCTCTAGAACCCCTATTGCAAATACATATACACAAAAATAGATACTCAGACAGACACATCCACAACAAAATACACACACAGTCACAGTTTTTAAAAAACACACATGCACAAGCTTCAACACACACAAACCAGCTGCAAGCTCTGAACTCATTAAGCCAATAATAGTCGTGATAATGACACCTTATGTAAATGTCTGTTGAAATTTTTGTGGTGCTTTCCAATTGGCAAAGTACTTTCCCATTAATTAATTTAATCCTGGCCTGCCCACAACATGCCCAGTAAGCCACACTCCACACCATGCTCTTGCGGAGGAGTGCCCCATTAGAAACTCTGAGAGAGAGATAACCTAAGTGGCTAGGCTCCAGCCCCGCTCCCTGACTTTAGACATCAGAACACTTGAGCCTATGAAGGGCAATGACTCACTCAAGGTCACCAGCCAGTAAGTGGCCCCAAATCTCTTCCAACCCATGAGAAAGCTACTTCTTACTTAAATCGCCATCCTTGGCAGGTGGCCTTGGCTCAACAACTGATGGGACAGCAACAGAAGATGCTTCCCAGGTGACATGCAAGAGTGGCCTTAGCAAGGACACGGGATGGGAGGTACACTCCAAGGAAGAAGCAGCAGGTTCATACTCGCCATTCACATAGATGTGCATGTGCCACACGAATGCCTCCACACTTAGACTTGTGGATATCTTTCTTTCTCTTTTTATTTCTTTTTTCTTTTCTTTTCTTTTTTTTTTTTTTTTTTTTTTGAGATGAAGTCTCACTCTGTTGCCCAGGCTGGAGTGCAGTGGCGCAATCTCAGCTCACTACAACCTCTGCCTCCCGGGTTCAAGCAATTCTCCTGTCTCAGCCTCGCCCAGTTAACTTTTGTATTGTTTTTTTTAGTAGAAACGGGGTTTCACCTTGTTGGTCAGGCTGGTCTTGAACTCGTGACCACAGGTGATCCTTCTGCTTCGGCCTCCCAAAGTGCTGGGATTACAGGTATGAGCCACCATGCCCGGACACACGTGTTTTACCTTTCACAGACATTGTACCTGCAGGCTCCCACACCCAAACCCACAGGCATCATCGCATACAGGTGTGTCTGGACATTTAGACTCACCTTTGGACACAGAGCAAAGGGCAAGGTCTTTGGAGTCAGAGAGACCTGTCTTGGAATCCCAGGTTGGCTACTATTAGCTGACAAGCCATGTAAACTCTTCTAAGGCTCAATGTTCTCCTAGATAACAGAATCTGTCTCCTAGGATTACTACATGAAATAAGACATATACACGAACCCCTTAGCATAGAGCGTGCAGCACGGTAAGCACCGCCCACTACTTTAATATTATCCCAACACAACCTGTAAGCTCAAAGTCAGCTCTAGACCTCCTCCGGGAATGCTGTCTCACCCACACTCTCTGCCCCCACCCCTCCTTGAGTGAAACCCCAGTGCAGAGGCCACAGAACTGTGCTGGCCTGCGGGTCCAGGGCCAGTGTAGAACCAGGGCAGAGCAAATGTAAGGCAGGGCAGGGCATGGCCCTGGCTGCTGAGCTCCAGGGGTGAGGATGTCATGGCTGAAGAATGCGTGGGAACCGAGTGGGGGTGGGGAGAGAGGAGATGGACAGGAGAGCCTTAGGGGCAGGAGCTGGGCCTTGGGGCACTGTGCTTTTGGGCTCCCCTCTGGGGAAGCAAGGGAATCTGGATGCTAAGGAGTCTAGGAGGTCTCTCCTTACTCAGAGGAAGCCCTGGGGTCACGGTCAGGGTAGTAGTTATTTTCGACACAAGATAAAAATTTTTTGTGTTGTTTTCTGGCTGTAAACCTGCCAGGAGCACCGTGGCTGAGCCCATCTGTGTGCCTGGGCCTGGGAAGAATCTCACTCTTCCAGATCAACCTCTGGACTCCACTGTCTCCTTGCCCAGGGCATAGCAAGGCATCCCCTCCTTGGGAAATGGGGAGAGGAAGCTGGCTGGTATCATGAGCCCCAAGGCTATATGTGCAAGACTTTGACGCATGTCCTGTGGTACAAATGCAAGCTTCTAGCTGGGGGATGACACACACAAACCCCTGCAAACATGTGGATGGACTTCATCACATGTGAACACTTCTGCAGAGGTGCACGTTTGCACCTCTGCCTCCGTGTACTCAGGAAGACCCATGCCCACACGGGTGAACATGCTTGCCCACAAGGCAGCGACATACCCACGCATGTGCACAAACACACACTCAACCGCTTCCCCATGCAGGATCTTGTGTTTTTAAATACACAAATAACTGCAGGCATGCACCGTGTTTCATGGGCCACACTCCCCAAAGGACAAGGGTGCACTTAGAAATAGACAGGGATGCACTAGTGTGAGACAAAGAGAGCGAGGGACGGGAGACAGAGATTAGCTGACTCCCTTGGATCTCCTTAGGAGGTTCTTAGTGGCCTGAGAACTGGTGCTTCTACTCCCCCCACCCCAATATCTTCTCCCCAGATCTCTAGAGAAACCAGATTTTTTTTTTTTTTTTTTTTTTTTTTTGACAGAGTCTTGCTTTGTCACCCAGGCGAGAGTAGTGGCGCAATCATAGCTCACTGCAGTCTCCAGCTCCTGAACTCAGCCTTGAACTCTCAAGCTCAAACTCCTCCCACTTAAGCCTCCCAAGTAGCTGGGACTACGGGCGCATGACACCACCCCCAGCTAATTTTTTAAGTTTTTTGTAGAGATGGGCGTCTTGCTGTGTTGCTCAGGCTAGTCTTAAACTCCTGGCTTCAAGTGATCCTCCCGCTTTGGCCTCCCAAAGGCATAAGCCACTGCGCCCAGCCTATAATTCTTAAGAATCCCTTCTTCCTGGGAAATCCCTGGGCCCCGCCCACCCCATCTAGGGCCCAGGGAGAGTATAAGTTTTTTCCTCCCCGCTTGGGGCACTGAAATAAGAAGGTGACTCAGGGGCAGGGGCCTGGGTGGGTGGGGTGACTCAGCTGTCTAGAGGGGGAGTGTGGTCTGGTGACAGGAGAGATTACTTCTAGACCTCAGAGGGTATACCCTAATCCTCTGTGGCTCTCTCATGTCCAAACCTGGCCCAGGCGGCCCCTGGCTGGGGATGGGGATGTGGGCTGGTGAGAGCTGCCCCCTCCCGCTCCTGCAGACTCTGGGCTGCCAGATGAGGTTGAGGTGGCAGCAGGGGCCTCACTGGCCCATTTTAACACTGGCACAGGGTTACTATCCAGCCCTGTGTGCGACGTGCTTCTAGCCCCACCCCTGTGGGGTCAGGCCAATGGGCTTCTCTGATTATGGGATCAACTGTGTCCCAATTCCTGCCTCCAAGGTCTCTCCAGGGGGTTGTTGGCTAGTCACCTGGGGTAGCCAAACAGTGCTGGGGATCTTGCAGAAGGACCCCCTTCATGGTTTGGCTGATTTCCTGACATACAGGAAATCAGGGCTGCCTCAAAATCTTCCTGGGCAAGGGCTAGGGAGGGCTTGGTGGCACCAGCTCTGAGCACACAAACAGACCAGCTTGGCTTCCTGCCCAACGTCCTGGTCTCACCCAGAAGGTCCAGGAACCTCTCCAGGCTATCAAGGATCTTAATTTTGCCCTTAGTACAACGGCAACTATAACTTGACCAGTAATGGCCCAACGAAGGGGCCTGGCTACCCTCAGAGCAACCCAAGAGGTCACAGGTAAGCTGTGGGAGTCAAAGGAGCTTTCACTTCCAGCCCTTGAAAAGAAGCAGGGACAGGCATGCCTGCCATCATCACCTCCAGCATCTGGAGGTCAGGGCTGCAGAGGGTACAGGAAGCAAAGCCAGGCAAGAGAAAGCAACGTGGAGAACAGAGCTGAGGGACCCGTGGCTAGAAGACAGTGGCACAGGGGTGTGGGTGTGAGTGCCTAGGAATGGCCATGTGAGTTTCTTCCAGAGGTGGGCAGCAGATCTCAAGCATCAGTCATACCCCAGAGGGAGGCTGATCTGACCCAAGGCCTGGCCTTGTCAGGCCCCAGGGCCCTCTCAGCCGCCCCCAGGCCTGGCCCAGCGCCCCACCAGCCTCACTTCACCCGGTTAGAGTGCTTTCTCCAGAGCCCTTACTTGAAGCTCCAACTCAGCCAGCCCCACCCTAGCATGAAACCTGAGACTGGGGGGAGAGCCCTCAGCCTCTTGCTGCTCTGAAAATCACTCCCATTTCCAACAAGAAGGGAAAGACATCAGAATGGCTTCCCACCCATTCTTTAAGGCCTGGCCCCAATTGCACCTCCTCCACGAAGACCCCCCAGACCTTCCCAGCCTGCCGTGATCACATTTCTCTGCCACCACCAGGCTGCAGAGGGGTAGGAGACTCCCTGAGCCTTTAGCGTCCTGCTCTCCAATGTGGCACTCAGTGTGGCTTGGTTTGTGCCGTTGGTTATGTCTGTAGGTGTCTTGGGTCCCTACTGGACTGTAAGCTCTTTGAGGGCAGGGTCCTAGCTTGTACATCTCAGTACCTCCCACAACATCCATTCCAGGCTCTAGCACATATTAGGTATTGATGGATTGATGGATAAGAAGCACAAGGAGACAGCAGCAATCCCACACTCCTCAAAAAAATGAAGTGAGAGTCTGAGGCACAGAAAACAGAGAGGAGGCAGCCCACATTTATTTAGCTCTGACTCTGTGTTAAGCACTATTACGTGTTTCATGTATGTTCTCATATTTAACCCTTACCACCAACTCTATGGGAAGACGTATAATCAGTCCCATTTTACAGGTGTGAAAGCGGCAGTCCAGACATGATCATTACCATTCTGAGGTAGTACAGCTATAACGAGTGGCGGGGTCAAGATTGAAAGCTAGATGTGCCTGCCTTCAAAGTCCATGGGCAGTCCACTCTGCCCTGTGCCCACTCCCAGCACCCAGCAAGAAAGACGACAGCGAATGTCCTGGTTTACCCACAGCCCAGCAGGCGTGGAGGGGGAAGGGCTGAGGGATTTGCCCTGATCTTCTCCAATGGATGGTCTCTTATTCCTGCCTGTGGGCCATCCTCCCAAGAGAGTCCCTGAACAGGGTCTCCAGAGCCAGGACTAGAGCAACCTGCCCCTCCGCCCCTTGTGCCCCACACAAGCAGTCCAGTTCTAGGAACTATGCCACTTCCCCTAGCTCTGGCTATTTGGAGATGAGCTGAAGTCAGAGAGGCAGGAAGTCAAGGAAAAGTTCTGTTATCTTGTCCCTGTGTGTCCCCAAACAGCCTGCCCGGGGCATCCAATCGGGCAAATGGCCAGAGTGCCTGGCCATCTGGTCACTCCAGGGGCAGGACCCCTCTGGACCCAGCAGGAGTGAAGGGGTTACATAGGGTCTTCAGAGACAAAGAACACACACACACAGGCAAACACACACTCCAGGGTCCTGACCTCAGCTAATTAGCCTCTGGTGTCTCGGGGGTGACAGAGCTGATATACAATATCTGGGTTCTCTTTGTATTTTCCCTCTTTCCACCCCAACTTGGCCTTGGCAGGGGTCTCCGGGCACATAGGGACAAAAGTAAGTCCCCCTTCTGAGCTGGCTTCTCTGACTTTGACAGCTGTCTCCTAAGTCCCAGAAAGCTGCAGCTACTGGTTAAACCACGGGATACCCAGAGAGCACGATCTCAGGGAATCCCTGGCAAAACTTTCTTCCACTTGGGCTGGGTGGTGGCCTGGGGGACCTGCTCCTCGGAGACTCAGGCCTCCCAGCTCCAAGCCAGACAGATGTGCAGCCCCAGGGCAGCCCAGACAGGCTGGAAAACACTCAGCTCCTGGAGCAGGAGAGATGGGGGAGAAGGGGAAAGAACGCACACACACACACACACACACACACAC